TAGCATTTTTCACATCCTTCGTCTGCCGGAATTGCCCGGATGACATCTTTACAAGGTGCGGCCTTCCCGAATTTGGGTTGCTGGCATGGCTGTCGTTGACATTTTGATTGGCATTACTAGTAGTGCTGACATTATTGAAGTTGCACGGTGTGGCGACCGCAGACCCTCCATCCTCCAGGCAATGGAAACCATGTACACACTCGTATAGTCCTGTCTGTTTATTAAGCTGCAAGTGATTCATGGAACGCACGTTGTTATGCAGACTGCAAATACCCTCCTCCCGCACTTTTCCACCACGTCCCTTACGATTGCTACCCACATGAGGAGATGCATTGCCTGTGAAGGAGTTAGCTCGTGGGCTTTCATAACTGCTAGCCGGGAGATGTGCTACCCACGGCGCAGAACCTGCAGTGGCACCAGCGCCAGCAGCATGAGTTGCAAAGTGCCCAGCCGCCGCGGCCTGTTGTTGCTGTTGTTGTTGTTGCTGCTGCTGCTGTTGTTGTTGTTGTTGTTGCAGGATCAAATGAAGTGCCTTTTCACAACGCATCCGAATGAAAGGGGCAAGCACCGGGGACTCCTCCGCGAGTGAGTAGAGGACCCAAAGAAGTACTTCTCGAGGGCACATTTGAAGGACACTTTGTGTAAGAAAAATCTCTTGATCAGTCGGGGCCGCATGTGCAAGCTGATACTGTGGGTTTTGGCACTGCATGCTTAACAGGTAGGCTGCGCTAGCAGATGGACTATCAACGGCAATCACGTTCCCCCCGGTGTACCTACTTCCTGTCCCAAATACAAAGGCCGGGGCATTTGAATTCAGCGGCATGGAACTTGTTTCTGTTACCGCCGTCACTGTCGTCGTGGTGGTGCCGCTGCTCATTCCTCCATCAAGGACGACAAACGGGGTGGTGGTTCCATGTGGCTCCTGTGCCTTCATGTCGAGCTTCTTCTCATCCAGTTTGGGTATCGTAAACTGCTTGCGGAGATTGCTTGGTGTGGCGTCGTTAAACTCTGGGCCGGATCCATCCGCCTGGATGCCTGCCACCGTGCCAGATGCCGACGGTGCCGCGTCCCCCTCCAACATGCTGCAGAATTGTTTGAAAAACCCGCTGGTAAAACAACAAGAAAATGTCAAAAGGAAAAATAAAAAAATATATACCCTTAAAAAAAAAAAAAAAAGGCTAAAGAACGTGACAGTGTCGAATGATCTTTATGCGCTGTCCTATTCCTCAATGATGACCACTGTGGTTCTTTAACGGACCCTATTCCTCCAAACAAAAGGTTTCCTTCCTGTTGTTTGGCTGCGTGCGTAATTTGTCTAGCGGTTTTTCTTCTTTTTATTTATTTATTTGTTGTTGCCTCTCTGTGTGCCTGCTTTTGTTTTGCTGCTGCCCCTTTCCTCCCTCCTTCTCCTCTCTGATGGTCAAATATATAAATGTATATATCCCCTTTCCTTTCCCTTCTCTTTGTAAATTTCTCCTCTTTTTTTTTTTTTTCTTCTTCTGTTATCCGTGACAACTGAAGGAAGACGCAATGTTTATTTTCTTCGCTTGACTTTAGGCGGTTGTTCGGTTGACGTGGGCGCCTCCTGCCTCTTCAGTCTCGTTGCACAACTTCACAAAAATAACAGTGATGCTCTCTCTTTTTTCTCTCTTTTATTTCTTTCCAGGCGGCGTCGGTGTCGAAGAGAAACAAACAAACAAACAAACAAGCAAACAAAAATTATTAGCGGACGAAAAATAAAAGAAAGAAAAAAACACACCTCCTTGTTAAAAAGTCAACGTCGGCACGTAAATACACACGCACACAAGAAAGAAAAGAAAAAGAAAAGAAAAAAAAAAAAAAAGAGAGAGAGAGAGACAGACAACAATAATGATGAATAATAACAAAACAAAACGTGCAGCAACAACAGCAACAGAGGGAGGCAGCTGTGGAAGACAGGCGATCATCCACACGGGACGAGTCTCCCTTCCTCTCCGCAAGAGGGGAAGAAGAGGAGAAGCGCCATGCTGAGAGGGGGAAAGTCTCAAGAGGGGAAATACGAGAGTCCATTGCGTTTCTCTCAGTGGACAAGAAAAGAAAAAAGAAAAAGATGCAGAAAACACAATGAAGACTATATTTATATGGACAAAAACAAAAATGATGTCCCGTGCTACGTCGATCAATAAATAATCCGTGCCTTGTTCATTCCCCTCATCGCAGCCTCGCTCTTGCTTCGCATATCGGGCTTTCTAAGGAACCCGTCTGAAAATTTCTCTCCCAAAGCCAACATGTACGGCAGTGAATCGCCTATCAGCGGTGAGCAAAAAACACTTTCGTCGCACACGTAAACATTGTCAGTGTTCTTCACACGAAATGTGGCCTGGTCCAAGACAGGGAACGACGCCCCACCGTAGATGCTTGCGGATTCAAAGCGCTCCGCAATCATATCGGTAAAGATATTTGAAAAAGGCAGCATCTTGGTTAGCTCTTTTATACGAGCAACCGCCTTGCAAAGGGCCTTTTCGTCATCCGGGTGTGTCAAGTACTTCGGGTCAATCGTCCCATCTGCACGGATGCAGCCACGGCTTTTGGGGCGCACAAGCTGAGCAATAATTTGCACCCCATGCTCCACCCCCTTTGGGGTAGAGCCGTCATTGTTCATCGTGAATGGCTGAAAAATAAATTTTACGTCCGGCGTTTGCTCCCCACTGCTGGACCAATAGCAGATCATGTCATCGTACGCAGAGCACAGTGCATGCAGCGGGTTGCCGTACCTGAGGTTTATTCCTATGCACATCTGTACAATTGGCTCCATGAAACAGTTGTGACTTAAAGGAATGCGGGTTCGGAACTGCATCTTGACCTGCGGTTTGTCCCAGAAATTTGTACCCACCGCGGGATCGATTGAAAGTGTTCCCTGCGAACAGGCGAGCAAACGGGGTGTGCCAATTCCCCCGGCACACAAAATGACAGCATCCGCCCCCACGTGTTCCGTCTCGCCATTCGGCCGAACATAAGTTACACCAGAGGCCGTCACCTTGGTGTTGTCTATTGCGTTGATGCCAATAACCCGCGCGTTACAGACGACCTCCAGCGGCCGCTTCAAGGCAATGGCATCAATCAAATAACTCTGCAGGGTTGTATGGGCGATCCCAGATCGTTGGTCAACAAAAGATTCGGCACGCCCGCAACCAGGACGAACGTGGTACTCCTTCCCGTTGAATGCACTGGTCAAGGCCGTGTCCTTTGACATCGCCTCACAGAATACCTTGAAAAAGGGAGACAGCGCCTGCGAGCGCGAGATAAAAAACTTGCCACGTTTTCCACGGTGCGGTGGGGGGTCCTCCAAGTTTTCAAGGCGCTGCACCCGTGGAAGCAACTCCTCGCGGAAACTCCACCCGGCGCCATCCCAGTCGTTCTGATCGCCGAGGTTCCACGAGCGGCCGCCCATAATGCCGCCGCCGCCAAGTACACGTGGGGTGGGTATCATCACCGGCGCCAACGGGTCCTCGGCGCGGTGTGTCTTTTGGGGCGTCGTAAAATTTTCACAACTTTCGTAGTTGCGTCGCGCGAAACGGTGGATAAGAAGACTGCAGGGGATGCTTCGATACCACCGCGGCTTTTTTCGGATGTCGTCTCCCTCCTCAAGCACAATAGTACTTAAGTTCTCCATTGCAAGACGCCCGGCGACAAGACAACCGGCAAGACCGCCACCCACAACGGCGACATTGTAATTCGCACGTCGCAAAGTAAGCGTACGGTACATTCCCGTCTAGCTGCACCACAAGGGACTCTACCAGCCCTTTCCTATCCTCTAACCTACGCTTAAAAGAAAACGCAAACCACAACCACACCGACAGACAAAAATAAATAAATAAATAAGAATAATCTTCCGGGCAGCTGGCCGGATCCTGAAATTATCTATGGAAACCAAACAAGTTAGGAAAAAAGGTTCTTTAGTTAATTGCTTCAATGTTTTATTCTCATTCAATATATAGAATTCTGTGGACCATTAGCATGGTCCTTTGTCCTCAGTTAGGATTTGAAATATTATTACTTACGAAGTGGCAGACTTTGGGGTCCTCCAACCACAAGACCCCGCCGGGAGGTGGGAATCAAGGGGGTGGGTGGGATGGCAAAATTAAAATATTATCCGGCCTCTATCGGTTCCCGCCCCTACAAAGTCGCGTTCTTCCCAAAAGATTCATACGGTAGAAAGTATCATAAAGAATGCATTCATTTATCAGGATATATACATACATTAATTAAGTTAGCCAGCTCTCCCGTGATCATTCTTTTCACAAGCTCCTAATAAATATATAAATAAATACATATATATGCAGATATTTATTTATTTATTTATACACAGGAAGAAAAAAAAAAAAAAGTAAAGTGAAGGCCTTCTTCTTTTAAATGCAAATGCACAGAGTGTGCTCCTGCTGTTAGAAGGGTATTCAAGTAAAGATGTTCCGTTTTGTGGTAAATGCCAATCTTCCCGTGGAATTAACACATATATCTAAATAAATATAAATATAAATGTAAATGTATATATAAATGTATATATAAATACAATAGTGGAGAAAGCGCATGCAATGATTTAACGACAAAAAAAAAAAAAGCTGAAAAACATGCGCTAAATGCATTTGCACAAAGGAGGGTTTTTTTTTTTACACTCTTTGCCGAACTTGAAACTTTAAGAGACATCGCATTCTCTGTTTGCCTAAATCCAAATAAACACAAACAAAGCACCGGGAAGGAAAGTGAAACACACACACACACACACACACACACACACACACACACACACACACACACACACACACACACACACACACACAGACAGACAGAAAAACAAACAGAAAGAAAAAAATGATAAAAACCAAAACATGCATGGGGAATCAAATAAGATGCGCACTTCTGTGCCGTATGTATGGGGGCATTTTTTAGTAACTCCACAGTTGAATGGATAGTGCGTGTAAGATGTCACGAAAAAAATTGGCAGAAGGCAACAACAACAACAAAAGAAGAAGAAGCAAAATGCACAAAAAAAAACACGAGCCAGTGAGAAAATGGACCCCAAGAACACATGGAAGCTACAAAAAAAAATAGATGAAGAGAAAAGAAAGAATGTACCGGCACCACCTTTGATCGCTACTGTAGAAGATGACGATTAAATGCGTCCTCACACACAATCAGTTGTGCAATCAGGGGAATAAATCTCTGATGCTCCTCGGGCAACATGTCCGCCACACGCTGCATCGCTTCGTCGTCGTCGACAGCTATGTTGTTCATTTGACGATATGAAGCTATCAGTGCGGACTCGCCCAACTTGTTCTCAAGGAATAAACGAAGCGATTCGATGCGGTGCATCAGCGGGTCTGTTGCCTGAACATTTGGAAGGATAAGTGTCTGTCCGTCTAGCATAAACTTTGACGGGTCTGTGTCAAAGAAGGCCTCATCGTTAAAGTCCTTCGCATCCGCGCGCTTCTCATCTTGCGTCAGTGCAGCGTCAATAGCAGTTTGCAGTGCGCTGTAGTCCTCATCTCGCTTCCTCCCCACATCGTCGTCGTTCGCCGTCTCGGGCTCACCATCTGGGGCTCTGTGGCCAATCCCCTCCACTGCAGCCGGCGAAGGGGGCAAATTCTGGGGTGCATCATTCCGCACTACTCGCTTTGCGTACACTACAGATTGGTTTTGCTTTGCGGCTTCCTCCGGTTGCCGCTGCTTCTGTGGTTCCTGAGGTTTTTCTTGTCCCTGTTTTGGCTCATGTTGAGGTGTTACCTGTTGTGCTTGCGGCGACGCTGCTGGCCTCTTCGGCAACGCGACATCCGGAGCCTCATCAAGACCAAGTGCACGTCGCTTATTCTCCTCGGCCTCACGTCGCATTTGCCAGTACACCTGCCGACGCACCTCCACTGCTTCCTCTGGTTGCATCTTCCCCAACGAATTAAGTCGATGCTGCCGAGCAGGTGGTGGAGACTTTGGCATTTGCACCTCCGCGACGCAAACGACATTTGAATCCGCACGACCCGGCATTGCCCTCACGTCCTCTAACATACGCTGCTTGTTCAATGCAGCCTGTCGTCGCATCTCACGGTACAACTCCGCAGCAGTTTCAGCGACTGAAGGTGCCGGCTTCTCAACGTGTCCATTACCGTTGTTATTGTTGTTGTTCTTAAAAAGCCTCTCATGAAGAGCCTCCTGCTCTGCTCTCTCACGTACACAGCGTTCCTCTTCGCGTTGCTTGCGTTTGTACTCCTCCGCATGTTCCCGCAAATTACGCTCCCATTCCTCCTCTCTTTGTTTATTGACAAGTGCCTGTGCTTTAGCGCGCTTCACTGCTTCTCGCCTTTGTTCACGCACACGTGCCTCCAATTCCTTCCTCCTTTGATTCTGTTCAATTTCCGCTTGCCGCTGCTGTGCCCGTATTTGCCGCAACCGCTCATCGTTTTCGCGGTTTCGCTGCTCTATCTGTTGCCGCAACAGTTGTCGCTCCTTCGCAAATTTCATCGCTTTCAACTGTTCCTCTTTCCGTCTGTCCTCTGCTTGTCGCATCGCTTCCAGCTGCGAGGGGCGTGCCGGCTCCTTCCTTTCCTCGGATGGGTCACAAGGCTTTTGATTGTAGTGGGCAACCTCCACGACTCTCTGCAGACTCGATAACGAGTCACGGACGTATGGAAGGAGGATAATTTGACTGACGTTTGGACGCAGCTTTGGGTCGATCTGAATCATGGCGGAGATCAACTTGGAGAGATTGGGGGGGTAACTGCTATGAATAGGGGGATAAACACCTTTTAAAATTTTCTGTACGAGTGCCTTCATGTTATTTCCATCAAAGGCATGTGTAAGCGTTGTGAGTTCATATAAAATGCAGCCCAATGCCCAGACATCGCTCTTATTGTTGTACGGTTTGTTGAGGCAAAGCTCGGGGGAAAAGTAGTACGGCGTCCCGCACACGGTTCGTTTCAGTTCAAACGTGTTCCGCAGGACGGTACTGATACCAAAATCCCCCAACTTTACTACCCCATCATTCGTCAAGAAGACGTTCTGTGTCTTCAGATCCCTATGCAAAATATGACGCTCATGTAAGTGAAGAAGAGCGAGGCAAATTTGGGAAAAGTAATGCAAAATCTCCTTTTCCGTAAAACGCACTCCCTTGCGGGACCTAATTTTTGTGTAAAGATCGCCCCCGTTGGCGTACTCCATCACAATGTAAAGTGAGCCGTTTTTTTCATAATGGTCCACATAACGGGTGATGTTGGGGTGATTTAGGGTCCGCAGCACTTCAATCTCGTGCTTTGCGCTCTCCCGCTCCGCCGGTTTCATGCCACCCAGTCGCACTTCCTTCGCAACAAATTGCGCCTTGTCACTACGCCGTTGCACGAGCCAGGCGGAACCAAAGCTCCCTTTGCCCAACACACGTATTTGAATGTAGTTCTCCATCCAAATATTTACCCCGCTCCGGCCTCCCTCGAAATATGTGTGTATCTGTGTTGAAGGTGCAGGGTGCTATTGTGCGCC